GATTATTTCTTTGGGCCGAGAAAAAGAAGCGGCATAAGAAGACGCTAACGAGAGACGTTTTAAAGGCGCTGCTTAGGCTAGTAGTGGTGGTAATGGTTATGCTGGTGGTGGTGGTGGTGGTGCTGCTGCTGCTGCTGCTGCCACCACTGTCACTGCCACTGTTACTGCTATTGCTATTGCTGCTGGTGGTGGTAATGGTGGTGTGAAGCTTTTTGGGCAAAAGGCTTTATTGGGTGGTGGATTTTCTTCGTCTTTGCCGCTGCCTGCCTCAGCCAGCCTCTGCTTCTCCCCTTTGCTTTACATTATTGTGCTGATAACAAACGCACGCCTAACACCAACAACATCAGGCAACATGCTGGTTGCCATGTGAGGGTGGCGTCAACGCAGACTTCGGCAGCGGCAGCAACGAGTCTATGGCTTCGAGGCTGCCGATTCGGTTAATGTGTTATTTTGGGTGGTCGTAGAACTTTTAGCAAACAAAGAACGCGCCCTAGCAGCATCAACAGCAACAACAACAACACAAAAAGCGCATGCAATGCCGATAAGCGCAGCCAGCAAATTGATTGCAGCTCTGGGAACAAAGAGCAGCGCAGCCGCAGCAGCAGCCACAGCCATAGCCACAACCTCAGCGGCTGCAGCAACAGAGAGGTCGGTTGCGGCCACGCGTCGGCTATTTTAAAATTTCAAGTGGAAACACAAAAATTGCTGTGAGCGACCGACGCGTCGCAAAGTGGCAAGCGGCATAAAACAGATGCATCACACGCACACACACAAACACTCACTCACTTATGAACATGGAAAGGGAGTCAGCGAATTCTTATCAGTCAAGTTTTCTGCATAAAACAAGAGAGATATGCCAGACTCGATCCCGTGCGGCACTCGCAACAACACAATGCTACACAAAGGAGTCGCTGACTAAACCAGACCCACACACACACACACGCACACACACAATCACACGCCAAGGCTGTAGTTGTGATTAATGTTGCTTTGCTGAGCTAGTTTGTTCTCTCTTTCAAACACTCTCTGGCCTGTTTTTATACCCTGTACCCGTAGGGTAAAGAGGGTATATTAGGTTTGTGCAAAGTATGTAACAGGCAGAAGGTATGCTACCTTCTCCGACTCCGACTCCATAAAGTATATATGTATATTATGTGTATATTATATGTATAATCAGCATAACGAGACGAATCGATCTATGTCTGTCTGCCTGTCCGTCCGTCCGTCTGTCTGGATGAATGCAAGGATCTCAGAAACTATAAAAGCTAGAATAACCAAAGTTGGTATCCAGTTTCTCCTAGGTCCGAGAAAGGACGAGTTTATTTTTTGGAATTCACATCCCCCCCCTTACATTTCTACAATTGTTTTAAATTTCATCCGAATAGGTCAAATTTGAGAAAAGTTATTAAAAGTTACTGCAGCATCAAGTTCGCTCTTCCTCTTCTTCTTTTTGCTTCTGTTACGGGCACATTGTATAACTCAGCGCCGGAAATTTGTCTGGGTACAGGGTCGGGCTCGCTTGACTGTAGCGTACTCTCTTGTTTTTGTTTTTACTTTTTCTTAAATTATCCAACTATTTTTAATAATGATAGAGCCGGAAACGAAAGCTTCAGAAAGTACAGTTAGCAACAAAAGTCAGGGGAAAAAAAAAGAAAGCAGATGCGGGCATTATAAAATTGATTTTTTTGGTCGGGCAGTCTCCGCTATAGTTCCCATTAAAAATAACAAATATTTGTTTCTGGTGAAATGAAATACTTATTATACCACACAATCCCTGTTTCGTACTCTTCTCGCTTTTGTCTCTTCGATGCCCCAAAAATCTTTGAAAAATAGTATGTATATCTTTAATGGTACATTATGACAACTTTGAAATACACAGATAAAGATACATTGGACAGATCTGGTTCTAGATTGGTTTGTTCTCAATTTTTAGCGCATTCTATGCCAAACGCATATGGGAATCGCAGCAATTAATTCAATTCAGCGTTCGCCATTCATGATTCCTGGCGCAAATAATTCCGAGTGCATAAATTCTAATTCTCTTCTATGGCATTCATTCATTTATTTGTATGCGTTCGTCTGTCCGCTGCTGTCTCTCCGGCATCAGAAGAACGAAACGAGCCAGTTGTGTCTGTAACCAGTGTTGCGAATTCAACTATTTTCCCACCGGTCCTGAACGGTAAAAATTTCAATATTGCTGCTGGCGGTTTTTTTTTAGTCTTTTTAGAAGTTCCACCTAGTTTTTTTTTTGTTTTACAAACTAAATACCAAATCGAACCAGAGCTGGGCAACTAAATTTGTTTTAAGGAAATCGGCATTTTACCAGCATTATAATTATTTTTAGCAATTTCTAGCTTGTTTCAATTGCTAATTTAGCTGTTTGTACACCAAAGAATTAGCAACACTGACTGTGAGCTGTCAGTGAACGCAGCATACACAAAACATATTGAGAGAGAGAGAGAGAGAGCGAAGGCGAGTGAGAGGCCCAACTGTCTGTTTGTTTGTTGCATCGGCGACTGCACTGAGACAGCAGCCGCGACGCAGGCGGCGACGTGATATCGTCCATGCAACTAGTTGTGCCGACGCCAGCAGCGATGCCGACTGCAACGCATTGCATTATTTTTGTTGTTGTTGTCGTTATTCGGGTTGAGGTGGGAAAGCGGCGTTGTCGGCATTTTGGTTGTTGTTATTGTTGTTTTTTTTCTTTTTGTGTTCTCGCACAAAATAATTTACAAAGTATTCTGAGCGCTCTGCGTATTATGTGTAAACGTATGTATATGTATATGTGTGTATATCGGTATGTATGTATGTATATTTATGTTTGTGCAGGCGTTCTTTTTTCTTTTTGCCGGTTTAGCTTTATTGCAAGTGCCGTTTTTATTATGTTTGCATGTATAATATATTTGTATGTACATATGTGGTTGTGCACTTTTTGCGTTGTTTTTATAAATAACAAAATGATTATGAAATCGCTATAAAACGTAAGTGGTCGGCGCATGCATGAATGCGTGTGTATGTGGCTGTGTGTGTGTGTGTTTGTTTGTTTGTATGTATATGTTAGTTTTTAAAACGCAAACGAAATCAATTTGCACATACAATGTACATACATTTTGTATACGCATTTGTGTGTGTATATGTATGTATGTTGGCATAGTTGAGGGAGAGAGAGCGACTCTGTTTAACCCTTTGTCGCTAGAATTAAGCTCGCGTCGCTTTTGGAGGTTATATTAATAATAACCACGTGAACAAAAATAACAACAGCGAACACTAAACAATGGCAACTAACATTAAAACACACTCCACACAAAACAAAGCACAACAAAGGCAGCCCCCGCCAGTACATGATAATATGTGCAAAAACATATATATATATACATATGTACATATATGTATGTCTGAGCGATAATCAGAAGTATTTAACTAAACAAAGCTCAAATTTGTTAAGCCGAAAATGTTTAACAATTCCATAATTTAAATACCTTGCACCCCAATTTTGCAATCCATCAGGAACAGAGTTTTAGTGTAGCATTGTGATATAGGACTGACATGTTTGAACAAATCTCAAATCAGTCTGAGCAAAACTTTATCATTTCAAATAGTGTTTCATATCCCTTTTTGGCCTTGTACTACTTTCCAAGATTGGAATTCCCCGAACTATCTGACCACTGCAACTGTATGAATTGACCGCCAAAACACTGATTCAGAAACGCATTTGCATATTTATTCTTACATCGCCCCGACGGGTTCTTTCCCTCGCACAGCGATAAGGCCTACAACGTAACATGGGAATACATATTAATGTAAATAAATATCTACATACGTATATGTACCTATACCTATACATACAAGTATTTGTATTATCACATTGCATTGTGAGGCATAGAAATTCCACACAAAACGTTGCGTCATTCAGATTCAGAATAAATGGGAATGTGTTAGTAACTTGTTTGCCAAATCCATTGACTAATGCTGATCTAAGGCGTAAAATATCGCTCATTGCAAGTAAATAAATATTGATCAACAGCGATATTGGCAATATTTGTCACAAGCATTACGGTTCGGAAAAGTTCTAAAAATTGTTAAAAGTCACTCGGAATAAAAACAAGAAGCCAGGAACGTTTGTAAGAACTCGCTTTCAATAACTTTAAAATGGAAAATTAAACCAAACGGCAGCAGGCCTTTCAGCCTTTCAATCAAATGCTTTTGCGCATGGCACACCTGAAGGGTTAAGGGAAAGGCAAGGCAGCAAAGAAAGAGAGGAGAAAAGAAGAAGAGCGCAGCAAAGACAATTTGATTAAACTAAGCTGCGTTGCCAACTTTCCACGAGACCGGAACGAATTGAGCGAGGGAGCGAACGAGACGTAGAGCCGGTCCAAGTGCAAAGCAAAGAGCGGGCGGTGAAGAAAGATAAAATTATCTAAGCGCAAACATGCCACAGATAAGATGGCGATGATGATGGCGCCAGAGAGAGAGAGAGAGAGCGAAGACAGCAAACACTACTCTCATACAAATTAACGGACACAAAAGGCGAAATAAGAATGGGAATGTCACTGTCGAGCATGTCCGACTCTTAAATACTCTTTATCTACAACAAACTTATGTTACATTGTTGTACGAAAATATTAATTAAATGAAATTCTTTATGGGATCAGAATTAGATATATAAATATGTAGAAATATAATTATAAATAACGTGTACATTATATAACTTTGAAATTTCACACCGTGACGGCAGAAAGGGGAGATAAAAATAATAAACTCATGTTACCTAGAGACTAGAAGGGTATACATAACAAGTTTGATTACAGTGGTTTTAACTGTTTTCGCAATGAAGGACTTCCCACACTGGGATACAAACATATGGGCAGACCTAATATACTCATTTGGCCCTTCGGAAAAAGGGTATCAAATGAAAAGAGAGACAGAGAGCGGAGAGGACAAAGAGGCTGTGTGGATAAAATTTCGAAAGAGGATTTAAGCTATGCGGGCAGAGTACTTACTTCTCTCGATGCAATAAGCAAATGCGATCCTTTGCCACTTTCAATTTTTTGGCTATGATCTTCTTAAGGTTCTCCACGCTTATGTGAGGCTCGACGCTGACGCCAAAATTGCCGCCAGTTGTGGTGCTGATATTGAGGTTAATTATGTTGCTGCTGATTGTTGTGGTTGTTGTTGCGGATGTTGCTGTGGAGCTGCTGCTTCTGCCGCCATTGTTATTTGCCATTGGCAGCACTACCATGGCCGCAGCCTGCGATAAATGTTGCAAGGTATTAGCTGCTCGGCTGCTGTTGTTGTTAGTGGGCCTAGCATTTTGGCCGTTGCTGCTGCTGCCAGTGGCATTGTTGTTGCTACTGCCACACCCAGCACTTGGCATGTTGCTGTTTATTGGTGTTGTTGCGGCGGTCGCCTCCTCATTTTGATTACAACTATTATTGTTGTTGCTGCCTGCCCCTGCTGCGGCGGCATTTGACGAGTCTGTCGTCGATTTATCCATAATTTGCGCTCTTTTTCTTCTTTTTTACTGCCTATTTATATTTATTTATTTTTTATAATATATATTTTTTTATTGTACCATGAGCTACTTTTGTAACCCAAAAAAAAATTTAATAAAATCACATATAACTGCACACACACACACACACAAACAAGAGAAAAAAATATGCGTTGAAAATGGCGTAACGGCACACGCGGTGGCGCTGGCTCTCGACTCCTCTGGTGTTGGTTCAATCGATTTTGTATATACACCACACCTAACACACACACGCACAACACGTAACAGACGCACACAGAGAAAGACGACGGAGACGACGCTGTTGCTGTCAAACACAGTTACGTGTGCCGAACGAGAGACGGACGCGTGGTAGGCTTCTCTTCTTCTTCGTCTTCTTTTTTTTTATTAGTCTTCGCTGCGTTGCTTCGATTGCGAAACAGTTTCACACGCACTAACTATAAAATTTCGATTAAGAATGATTTTTTTTTGAGAGTGCATCTAAAATATACAGCAGTACGAAAATTATGAATTGATTGAGATGTAAATTTATTTTAGATTTTTATAATTTTTATTTAGATATTCAGTTTGCTTCACTTCTTTAAATTTGAACCACACACACACACTCACTCAATTATAGTAGCAAGTCAAACGGCGGCGGCAAAAAAAAAATTCAACTCACACCAGCGACTGCGACGACGACCAACGAGCGACTGTTTACCGTTCGCAACGATGGCAAAACAAAGCTAAAATGTAGCGTCGACGTCATCGTCAGCGTCGACGTCGCATTGGTTGAGCACGTTGACGTTACGTTTTCAGCAGGCATTACGTTTTATGTTTGGGGTTACGTTGGCAGGCATGTTAAAACCTAACTGCTGTTAACTTTGACGGTAAACATATGTACATGTATATGTATGTATGTATATGCATGTCATTCCAATATGTTAAGCATATGGGAATTTCAACTAATTTGCCTGAAAATAGGGAGTATAAGTAAACAGCAAAGTAAGAGTACTAACATTTTCCTATTTTTATTTTAATCATTTTGTTTTTGAGAAGTATTTCAAAATATAAACATCAGGCATTACGTTTTATGTTGTGGATAACATTGGCAGACATGTTAACATGGACGGCAAATATACGTACACATGTATGTGTGTGTATGCACATACTTATGTATATTACTTAAAAATGCTAAAGTACAGAATTAAATATATTTTTTTATGAACAATTACATAGCACTGTAATTTTATATGGATGGCTTGTATTAAATTTATATTAATACATTTTTTTTAATCGCAAGCAAACGGTTTTTGAATAGGTTTCGAAAGCCAAACATGCTGCCAGCGGTGTTTTTCTTCGCTAACGTGGTTCCTGCCGCGGTTGAAAAGCTCGAATTTATTTCTACATACATATTTCTCATATTTATCTGTGATGTACACACGCTGTACAGGCCTGAAAGCTCAAAAGCTTTAAGCCAAATAATATATATATTTTTCTCTATTGCACATACGTTCAAATTTAACATAACGTGTCAATGTTGTCTTTCATAGGCATTTCATTTAAACAGTATGGTTCTATTACCTAGAAATGTCATTCATTCACTGTTATCAAAATTCTTATATCGATGTAGTGATATAGTATTCTCATCCCCAACGCCTAATTAAATGGCGAACCTGCGCAATGAAAGTTCCAAGGTTGTAACCATTCCTTCTCTCTTTCTACCATATTACTAAAAATTGCCATGCATGTGTCCCTTTAGAGCTTTTCCTGCCAAATACGTCGCACACACGTGCGCTTTCATCGATATTTTCATTTGCTTTATCGATACATCGACGTTTTCAAAAAATCACTTCAAAAATCACTCTTCAATTGAAAAAAGGCTCATATTAGGGGGAAAACCAAATATTAAAAACTCATGCCAAAAATGATCTTAATCGTAACTTTAAAAGAACTCGCCCGCTTTCACGCATAAATGAAGAATAAATATTTTATTACAAATCGGTGCATTCGATATAATTGCAATGAATATTATATCGCGTTTTACTTAAGTCTTGCATATTAATATCGATATCGCCATATCGATACGCATCGCTATTGCATGCAGCCCGCAATTGGGAATTGATTGTCAAGCCGTCCACATTGATACGCGGTTGGTCTCAATTTGCTTTAAACATGTGGTTTGGAGTTCATCAAACCTTGTTAACCTCTTGTTTTATTGCAGGCAGCAGCAATAACAATAATCAAACGGGAATAGCACACACACACAGGCCAGAGATATACGCGTTCAATTTTAGGCGAACGCCGCCCGCAGCCAAAAAGAAAAGAATAAGAAAAACAAAAAAAAAAGAGAGACAACTTGACAAAAATTAACAACAGCAGCCGCTAAAAATAATACGCAGTGGCAAATTAATTGCAAATATTTGGCTTTGCTTTTGTTTACACAGCGTGAGCAGCTTGAGGAGTGTAACTAGTGTGAGTAGAAAGCATGGCAACTAATGTGAGCGCCTCAGGCGATGCTGCCTACATAGCCAAGTCCTTGTTGATGCCGAATGGGAAGCCAAACGGTTTTGTGGGCAGCAGCAACGCTTTGGTAGATGAGAACGGGGGAGAAGAGGCCACACAATTGCAGGATGGTCTCAGCTGCAGTGAACTATTTCTGAACGGTGAGGGCCTCACCTACAAGTAAGTTCCAAACCAATACACACACAACAACATAACTATAAACAATGAATCAATCAATCAATCAAATATGCTGTGTTACTTTTCGTCTCGCCTCCCACTCATTTGTCTATCCACACAAATCAAATCATCATTGATCGTGTCCGTCTCAGTGATTTTCTTATACTGCCCGGCTATATTGATTTTGCGGCCGAGAACGTTGATCTGAGCTCGCCATTGACCAGAAAGATCATATTGCGAGCACCTTTGGTTTCCTCGCCCATGGACACTGTAACCGAATCGGAGATGGCCATTGCCATGGCGGTAAGTAGAGCAGATCAAATAAAACATAGATATATGTATGTATACAACATGAGATGAGATCGCACATCGCCGCACGATTAGAAACGTGGTGGCGACGTCGCTCCACAAGTGTGGTTGTAATTGAACACTCTTATGCGCCTCTAATTTTGCAAATGTTTTCCCCGCACACGCCGCCCTTACGTCGCACGACGCGCAGCTTTGTGGTGGTATTGGAATAATCCATCACAACTGCACGCCGGAATATCAAGCATTGGAGGTGCACAAGGTTAAGAAATACAAACATGGCTTCATGCGTGACCCATCGGTCATGTCGCCCACGAATACCGTCGGCGATGTGCTCGAGGCTCGTCGCAAGAACGGCTTCACCGGCTATCCTGTAACAGAGAATGGCAAGCTGGGCGGCCGCCTACTGGGAATGGTCACGTCCCGTGATATTGATTTTCGTGAGAATCAACCGGACGTGCTGTTGGAGGACATCATGACCAGGGATCTGATCACAGCCCCTAATGGCATCACTCTCCCGACGGCAAATGCCATATTAGAAAAGAGCAAGAAGGGTAAGCTGCCGATTGTAAACGAGGCTGGCGAATTGGTGGCGATGATTGCGCGCACGGATCTGAAGAAGGCACGCTCCTATCCCAATGCCTCGAAGGATAGCAACAAGCAGCTGCTGGTTGGCGCTGCCATCGGCACCAGGCATGAGGATAAGACTCGTCTACAGCTGCTGGTCGCCAATGGTGTCGATGTCATCATATTGGACTCATCGCAGGGCAATTCCATTTATCAGATCGAAATGATTAAGTACATCAAGGAGACATATCCCGATTTGCAGGTCATTGGCGGCAATGGTAAGCGCAACCACTAACCGAAACATTTGTCTCACAGACCCAAACTAATAAACGCATAACCCCCTTTCCTCATCTCTTCCTCCATCTCTCGTTCGCTCGCTCTCTCGCTCTGCTATCTCTTCCGCTCCCGCAGTGGTGACACGCGCCCAGGCCAAAAATCTTATTGACGCCGGCGTCGACGGCCTTCGTGTGGGTATGGGCTCCGGCTCCATTTGCATCACCCAGGAGGTGATGGCCTGCGGCTGCCCGCAGGCGACTGCCGTCTATCAGGTCTCCACCTATGCCAAACAGTTTGGAGTGCCCGTCATTGCTGACGGCGGCATCCAGTCGATTGGGCACATCGTTAAGGCTTTGGCGCTCGGCGCCAGTGCTGTTATGATGGGCTCCCTCCTGGCTGGCACTTCGGAGGCGCCCGGCGAGTATTTCTTTTCGGATGGTGTCCGCTTGAAGAAATATCGTGGTATGGGCTCCCTAGAGGCCATGGAACGTGGCGATGCCAAGGGCGCTGCCATGTCCCGCTACTACCACAATGAGATGGACAAGATGAAGGTGGCGCAAGGTGTTAGTGGCAGCATCGTGGACAAGGGATCGGTGCTCCGCTACTTACCCTATCTGGAGTGTGGCTTGCAGCACAGCTGCCAGGACATTGGCGCCAATTCTGTACAGAAACTAAGGTGCGTACCGTTTTAAAATAATCCTTTGTTCCACTTTATATTGCGTCGTCGACGGGAATAGAGGAATAGACTATAAACGTATAACTAGGATAGTCTCTCTGTGTACAGTACATTTGCTTTGCGGATTATCAGCACACAGCTTAGACAATTGGAGCTAATGAAATCCGGAGACAAGTTTCATTCGATGATGCAGAGAATTCAACCCCTAAGTAGGGAAAAAGGCATATGGCTTGAAAAAGTTATCTTATTGTTAATGCCTGAGTTAGTTAAATATGAAATAACCGGACTTCTTTAATACTATACTTGTACTCTCTTATACTATTTTTTTTTTTTAAATAATTTCTTCATATATCTGCATTCGATTTTTTAAATCCTCTACCTCAGGGAATGCTATAAAGGCTAAAAATTGAAATCTGAGTCGCATTCAAAAGGCTTTACAATATTCTTCTCTAAAATGGGTTTATTAGGTGTGCAAAGTATGTAACAGGAAGAAGGAAGTATATATATCTAGTCATGTCCGTCCGTCTGTCCGTCCATCCGTCTGGATGAACGCCTGCATTTCAGAAACGGTTGATCGCACATTGACCAAACTTGGTTTATAGACGCTCCTGGTCCCTAAGTTACACGAGTTTATTTTTTTTTTATTTTCCCTCCCCTCTCTCCGCTACAGAATTTTTTCTACTGTAGCGTTCTCTCTTGTTTCTTTAAATAATGTGATATTCCGAACAATAATGTTTGGTTAAAGAGTGTTCTATCGGCTTTAGGTGGAATATTGAATTTGTTTTAAAGGGAAAAAAGTAAAGAATTAAAAAATCCCAAATCCATAAAAAGAGAATTCCGTTTTTGTGGAAATAAGATTATAGAAAAAAGCGCTAAAAACATTCTGGTCCGGTTTTTCGTTTAGATATACAGCTTTTAAAATTTGTATTAGTACATTAAATGCCAAACACAAATTATTGGAGTGGCCATTGACTCGACTTTTAAGTTTGTGGAGAAGATAGCCGGTTAAAAATTGCATTATTTGGAATGAGGTCCATTCGGCTATATTCCAGGAACCGCAAATAATGATTATTATTATTATTTTTTTAACGAAAAAATTATTCACTTAAAAGTAGGAACTTTGAGAAATCGAGGAATTTACCAATATCATTTTTATATGATTATCAATGCATTTTCCCCATGATGTAAAAACTTTACATTTTTAGTCATTCTCTCAAAATTTAATGATTTATTATAAGTTTTACTTATTCATTGTCTTTGAGCAAAAAAATTAAAACTCGGAAAATAGTAATTATTCTTTGAGTTTTTATGATCAAAAATAAAACTCAAGCTGTAATTTTGCCTGAAAATATTTGCTTAAGGACGTTTTTTGTAGCCCAAAACTGTACTACGGGAATTCGTCTTGGCTTATTGTTTAAGGATACATATTAATTTTGTCCTTATTCCCGATGAAAAAGATAAGAACAATTACAACTTAAGGTTTATTTTTGATAAAAAAAAAAAGCTTGAAGAATAAATATTTTATGAGTTTTATTTGTTTGCGAATGAATAAAAGTAAACATTATTTTCTAATTTTTAAAATAACATAATGATTACAGTCCCTGCTATTTTTTGAGTTTTTAAAATTGTGGCAATACGTTTTGTAATGTCCGTTTGTACGCCAGGTATTATATTCGACCATTCTATATCCATATGTCCTAGAACCCAGATCAGCTTAATTTTGTTTGGGTATTTTATGTCGTAGTGCCGGATCGGATCTCACATAAAAGGTTGCTTGTGTTGTAGAGATTAGACTATTTCAACACAATAATACTAAAAAAATATATTTATCTTTACAGGGAAATGATCTACAATGGCCAGCTGCGTTTTATGAAGCGCACCCATTCCGCCCAGCTTGAGGGCAACGTGCACGGCCTTTTCAGCTATGAGAAGCGTCTCTTCTAACATACACCCTGCGCTGCGGCGCCTGGCGGTACAAGATCGGAACAGCCGGGTATACCACAGCAGCAACAACAACCGTAGCAGCAACAGCCAACCACCAGCGGACTTCGTACGACACTATAAACGGAAATTATCTTGTATAAGGTATTAAGTAGTGGTTAGACATTTTATTCAAGTACTTTATAGGAGGCAAATTATAGTGAACGGTTTTATTTCGATTGCCTAGCGATTCCCAACTATACTATATATATAGAGAGAGCATTCGAATATCCCCAGAACCAATAAACACTGTTATAGGATCAGAGCAAGCCTGTTTTTTATTCTACATTCGAATGCATATGTATAGCTGTTAAAAATGAACATATAATGTATACGTTTATATCTATTGAACTAAAGAGAAACGTTTAAACTTAAATTTTAAGATATTATCCCGCGCACACACACACACACGCACATATGTACTAAAGTATGTGAAACTATATACATACAATATATATGTAACAATAAAAATTGTAATCAAGTTAAGAATCTAATTTTCATTCGGTTGTAAAAACTTGTCTCGCCAGCTCGAAGGGTCTACCGATGTCATCCATCAAGACACTATTCAGTTTCGATTAACCTATTTGGAATCGAAATTCTTAACATTTTCGGCTTGAAATTCAAAAGTACATTTCAAGGACTTCACACATACGTACGATGGGGATTCATTTATTTGCTCTTTTAAAAGCTTTGGTTTCTGTTCAATTTTTTTTTCGATGTTTCGCTCCAGCTATCGAATTAGGAGCTTCATGAAATTAATTTGATTTATAAGAGTTTGTCTGTCCGTATGAACCCTTGGATTTCAGATACTATAAGGGCTAGGGACACCAAATTTTGCACACAGATGCCTTGTATATGTACGTAGGACAAGTGTATTTCACAATTTTTCTCCCTCCCCCCACTCTTTCGCCATTTCTAATTTTCCATAACTCCCGTAATTCTTGGAATTTTTCAATGAAATTTGATTATTTAAAAATCATGATTTCACACATCATCTATACAGTTTAAATTCGTTTTTTCACCCACCTTTTCTTTGGGCTCTGGACAATTTATTGAATGCGCGACTCCAATCTATGCCTCTCGGAAATGGAAGAGACCAGAGGTTAAGGCCTGCCTCTTGAAGTTGCCCATTCCTTTCGAAAGCGCCATGACAGGGGACGCTTAGCCGCTCCTATGACATTCAAAATTTTCCCATGCACCCCCAGAAACCATTCTAATTTGTCCGCTAGGTGGCGCTAGGAAAACAAAAATCGAATTTACGATCTAAAACCGTTGGAGCCTCGCTACAGGACGTCACAAATCTGCTATCAGTTTCTATCCTCTATCCCGTCAGCAAGAAGAAATAACTTTGCATAAACGATTACCGATATTTTGATCGTAAGTATTCATATTTTATTATCTTTCGAATTCATTGTTAAATATAAATAAGTTGCGTTTACTTAGAAGCATTTTTTCTGTAAAATGCCCGACTAGTTGTTAGTTAGTTTGCTTTTAAAAGAACTTTTATGATTATGTGTATCTTGAGATAAATATTAGTTATACATATATGTATGTATGTAAATATATTAGTATATTAGTCAAAAAAATATTATTGTATTGTTGTTGTTGTTGTTGCTGTTGTTTAATGCGTAACTCACATAAATACACGATTTATTAATTTTAGTTTCATGTGCGCCCTTCAAATGCAGCTGATAAACCATTTTTTAAGGACACTTTCACAAAGCTATAGCCATGCATACATACATACGACTCGTACATACCTATTTACGATTGGAGACCTCATATGTCACATATAACCAATGATACCAATGGCTTTCCAATTATGGATTATTACTAACAATTTTGATTATTTCGCTTATAACGACTCTATTCAATTCGATTCTATTGTAGAATGTGTTCTGGTTGTTCCCAAAAAAAATATGTATTATTCCGTCTTAGAGAAAGTACCAGGAATACCTTTACTTTCTTATCAATGAGGGTCAGTTTTAAAAAAAAAAAAAAAAAGCTCGGCTCTATTCTATAGAGTCTAGATTGGAGGGAGGGAAATTTGGTGTCCCTAGCTCTTATAGTGTCTGAGATATAGCCGATTCCATTCGTATAGGAAAATCGGAAAAACCCCATAGGGGGAAATGGGGGGGAATCAAAAAAATAAAACAAACTTGCACACACATAAGGCATCATTGTGCAAAATTTGGTGTCTCTAGCTATTATAGTCTCTGAGATCCAGGTGTTCATACGGACAGACGGACAGACAGGGCTCGAGATAGATAGAGATAGAGATAAGAAATGTTTATTGAAACTACAAATAATCTGCGATTTTAAGTCAATAAAATACCCACAAAAGGTATTAATTGACTCCAAAGACATCCGTTAATTATAGTATTTGAGAGAGGGCCGTTCCCACACACAAACAAACGTACAGACAGACAGATCTGTTTTGAATTCAGCATATACTATTTCTATTTTTTTGTGAGAATTACGTATTTTTAAGAGAGAGAAAATACTTAAATCATCCTCTATTTAACCAATTTACTTTTATATTTAAAATTCAATTTAAAAAAAAAACCTTAAATAGTATTTTATGATACACGTCGGTATAGAATATTTAAAAGAGTTGACTACACTAAGCAGTAGATTGTGAGAAAGGGAGATGCCTAGCAGCTGTTCATAAAGACGTTGATGCTCTCTTTCGTAATTGGTAACCTTAGAGTATCGTCCACTGACTTCATCTGGCGAATAGTTCCGCCTAGAAGATACTACATTAGCCGAATTCAGCTCAGAATCTGAGCCGTCTGTGAATATGTTAGAGACATGCTGGTCCAGTCCTTTGCGTCAGCTATCTGATCCCAAAAGTCTAGTCCATGTTCTTCTAGGCTCGCTGGCGATCGAACTGTGTCCGTAGCTCTGTAAGCTTCAAAGCTTCCAGAGTCTGTGCGCGGACTTCTTGGATGTCTAGGAGACTGACTCTTGGCACCACATCCAAATCTTTGGTTGGGATGGATCTGAGGCCTCTCTAATCAGGCAATAAATACAATTGTACATGCAATAGAAACCAATCATTTCAATAACTCCCAAATTATTATGTTACATTTATTAATTATTAGTTTTATTGCATTAAATTTGTAAATTAAATACTCCACTCGCGCTTTTTCATAACTATTGATATAGCCGTTCATATTCCTGTCTTCTTTTTTTTTATTAAGAATCAGTTTCTTCTATTTTCTTCTCCCACTCCACAGTGGGAGCATGTCTGACTGGAATCTGTGCGAATCCAGGAATACTACCAAAAATAAATCCTCTCTCATTGTAGTGTTTATCACAACACCCATCCAACCCATCCATTGTAGGTAGTACGCCGATTTATATTCTCTCTGAGAGTCGAGCAGGTAACTCCGGAATCATAACGGACTGCCGTAGATATTTTAACGAGTATAGCCGAATAGGTCAGACACATCGGTACACAAGGGCGTACGCAGCTTCTACCAAAGGGGAGGGGCCAAAAAATAAAAATTATTGATTAAATAATGTACGATGCATTTGAAAATTAATTGTGCATATGATCAATGAAAAAACGTCAACAAATCCAACTTAGTTCCATTTTATGGCGAAATAGTGCATCATAATAATGGCAAGATTTTTTGTAGGCCCCTGCCCTGCCCCTCCCCCCTGCCTACACCTAGAGAGGGCTGCATCGGATACGAGCCATCTAGGGAGTCTCACGGCAAACATCCTTTCGGACGCGGAACATATTCGTATGCCGCTAGACTTCTTCAGGCTTCTGAAGTGCAGTCCAGCAACGTTGGAAGAACATCAATCAGGACCTGAACTCTCTGCTGTAGTGGAGGTATGTACGAACCACTACCTGGCACCTGCTTTCACTGTAACTGTCTAATACTCAGGAGAGTCAGGAATCCTTCCCTATAGGTCTCGCAGGCACAGGAAAACTGCAGAATTTATTAGCAGCTCTCAGAGAGAAACCAAATGGACTTCCTCAGGTCTACCTAACCTAACCCGTTGCCATGGAGACCTTACCTATAACTCTTCACATCGCTGAGAAATATACTTTTGCAGTCCAATAATTTGCTGACTAATTCAATATTTGATTTTAAACATTTTCGAAACCCTACTCTGCGATCATTTTTTCACCTCAAGCGCAAGTCTTATGTACGAGTATGTATGTATGTGTGCATATATATGTAGGTGTGTAGAAGATAGAACTAAGTATGTATGTATAATTTATGTATTTATGTCTGTATGTATGAGTTTCTCTAAAAACAATGCTATTGAATGGGAATACTTGTACATATCTATGGACATATTGTGGGGGAAAGCAAGTCAGAGTCTAGGTCTGGGCCAGCACACACACACACACACACACACACACACACACGCACGAACACGAACGGACGCGCACACACACGCACACACACTCATGCACACGCATATCAAAAATATATAAATATAAATATATGTATGTATGTATGTTGTATATTATGTATGTATGTATATACCACTATAAATATGTAATTAAATAGGTGTGTATGTACATAGTAGTAGGGTTGCTTTTGTGTTGGACACCCTAGTGGGTCGGATTATCGGGGGCCAGTGCATGCCACTTCTCATGGAAGTGATCGGGCAGCCGAATACAGTCGAGCCACTGCTGAAGGCGCTCCCCCTTGCTCTGGGCACCCAGCTGGAGACTGCCCAGGAAATCGTTGCTCTTGCCCAAATCCTTGTCCCATACGGTTAATATAAGCATCTCCTTGTTGAGGTCGTGGGGACTCGCCTCGAAATAGAACTCCTCGTTGTAAATGGGATTTAATGTTCGCCATTTGACGCTTGTCTTGTGCTTCTTATTCTTGTGCGCATCGGGCTTAAGTTGTCTGGAAGGAAATTAAGAAAGAAAGCGGCATATGAGTTCTGGAGTAATACAAGTATGTTATTTTATTACATATATAATATTATATAATAATTCGGCAGTCTTATAGATATATCCTAGGGACATTGGGGTCGGGAATGACTAAATGGAATTTTTATTCAAAGTTTTTAAGAAAATGATGCTACAAAATCACCCTTAAATGAAACAAACTGTCTGCCGATTTAAGCATTATTGATAAATACTTGTATGTTTGTCCCAATTGATTACAAAATATATATAAAGTTGAGAGACAGATACCAAATACCAGATACCATATAGCCTAGTTTCTTCACCCACTCGATAGTATGAGCATGTCTGCATGGAATCTGTAGGAAATAATAGTCGTAGAGCGTGCAACCCATCCAGAAAAACGACCAGCATTGACCATTTTGAGGAATTGGTAAGTAATGCCCTCCCTAAACTACAAATTACTTTTTTTGTTTCCCTTAACTGCCAGCGTTACATGAAATCTAGATGATTCTTCTAAATCTAACCCTGTTGTGTATTTGATAAGTGATGTAATTTTTTTAAAAGTCGACAAAGACCTATATCTCGCTCTGAACAGATCTGACTGTTCAGTTATCAGTTGAAATAGTTAGTTACTTGAATGTTTTTATTCAAATAATGAGCTCATCTTCTAGGAGTACGTCGTTAAGGAATTCTATTTCGGAGGCAATTCTTCTGTCACGCACTCTGAAAGTGCTCCAGTCGTTAGGGGAAAGTCGACAAAGACCTATATCTCGCTCTGGACAGATCTGACTGTTCAGTTATCAGTTGAAATAGTTAGTTACTTGAATGTTTTTATTCAAATAATGAGCTCATCTTCTAGGGTTACATTTATCTTTAAAGTTGGAGTACGTCGTTAAGGAATTCTATTTCGGAGGCAATTCTTCTGTCACGCACTCTGAAAGTGCTCCAGTCGTTAGGGGAAAGTCGACAAAGACCTATATCTCGCTCTGGACAGATCTGACTGTTCAGTTATCAGTTGAAATAGTTAGTTACTTGAATGTTTTTATTCAAATAATGAGCTCATCTTCTAGGGTTACATTTATCTTTAAAGTTGGAGTACGTCGTTAAGGAATTCTATTTCGGAGGCAATTCTTCTGTCACGCACTCTGAAAGTGCTCCAGTCGTTAGGGGTTGGTCATGCATAGCGGCTTGATCATACGATTATGAAGATATCACTCCCCGATCCTTTTAATGGAATAAAATCACTTACATCCTGAACCGTCAAATGTCAAAGAGTTCCCATATAATCAGCAACAGATAACTTTAAAATGCCAGAGGAAGGGCGCTTAAAATAGATCATAACCTATAAAGAATTAATCCAGACCTTTTGGGCTTTTCGGATTAGGAAGTTGGCTCACTATATCATGAACTTGGTCCCCCGCTATAACATGGAAAGGCATCACATCTTTTCAAATGACTAAATGGAATGCCCGAAATAATGCATTGAAAGACCTATTGATCCAAAACAGCTAACTCTATTGGAACTTGGTCCCTGTCGTCGCAGTTCCTTAATACTTACAGCTTGACAAACGGATCGGAGCTGCCATTGTTGTCCATAGCCAGCAGATTGATGCACTGCTTCACATTGACGACGAGCGCCCGACGCTTGGTGTTGTAGCAGAGAGAGATGAGCATCTTGCCGTTGGGCCAGTTCTGCGACAAGTCCGCCTCATTGCTGTACTGATCCTCAATGCCCAGCGGCACTGAGATGCGATATTGTGTGGTACTGTGTACCTGGAGTGGAAGAGTGATGGATGAAGAGAATTGGGATGATCTGAAAAGTTGTCACATACCGTGGATAGACAGACCTTGGCTGCGCCTAGAAAGTCATGCCCATATTTGTCATCATCGAAGAGTGCCACATAGAGCAGGGAATTGCCCAACTCCTCGGGTTCAACGCCCACAAACTGGAGCGTCTCGTTGAACTCGGGGTTGCGGGTCTTGTGGACCGTCTTTGTGCGCTGCCAGCGCGTGTATTTCGTATGCCCCTCGGGCGTTACAATATTTAGCTTGCAATAGGGATCGGTCAGGCCGGCGGCATCCATGGCGGGTAGATCGCGGGCACGCACCATCGTACAGTCCAGACTGTGAAAGCTCTCCCGATAGCTAATTGCGATCTCCAGCCAGCCCAGTAAGGGATCCCGACAGTGCTGCTGCTGCTGCTGCTGCTGTTGTTGTTGTTGTTGTTGTTGTTGTTGCAGCTGCTGG